GCTTAACCTGACCTGAAATCAAGAGTCCAATGCTTAACCAACGGAGCCACTCAAGCACCCCAGATTATTTTCTTTTTTTAATGATATAGTAACATCTATCATTATTTTTTTACAAACATTTAAAAAATTTTACAATCTTTTTAAACCTGCCTTAACATTTATTCAACAATTTTTTTCAACAAATCTTTATTGCAAAGCCAGTGTGTAACATGCATGCATACATTAGATTGAACCATATGAAATGCTGACACTTAAACCACTTTTTAAAAAATTTTTATTTTGAGGCAATTTTAGATTCAACACAAATGTGCAAAAACAGTGTAGAGAAATGTATATATTCCTCCAGCTTCCCTCAAACATTTCACATGATTATAGCACATGGTCAAAGTAGGAAATTGACATTGGCATAATACAATTAACAAGTCTACAAACTCTACTTGATTTTACTGGTTTTTGCATGCACTCATTATTTAAAAACAAGCAAACAAAAAGCCCATTTTTGATCTACAAAGAAGTGTATATATGTCCTGAACTTTGCTGTATGCCAGTACTCATATCTAGGGGTGTGTCTTTCACTAATAGCATCACTCAGCTCTTCTTTAGCTATGACTTCACGGGTTTCTAACAGCGATCTTCAAAGTTTCACCTAGAAGGTCACTGTGGCATTGCTTCAGAGAAATGATATACTCTCTGAGAGTTTGCTCCTGACTCAGGCGTCTTGTGGAGTTTCTGGTGATTAATATGTCATATATATTTTACAATTAAAATTTTCTCATTTGAGAAAATTTAGAAAGTATACAAAGTACTAATAAAATTTTAATTGCCTATAGTATTTCCACTCAAAGTCAGATGTATTTAGTCTTGCAGTATTTTTTAGTTTTCTTTGTGGAGCAAGAGGTATGCATGTGTTTGCGTGCTCTTAAGTATTTACATACTCATTTTCCTATACTTTGCATCCTTTTTTAAAAAAAATATGGTGAAATGATCATTTTCTCGGGTCATTCAAAGTCTTTGTAAATAGGCATCGAGAAATATAAAGGTTAAAAAGGCATTGGTGCAGTTTCAGCATTTTCAGATGAATAAACTGTGGCTCAGAGAGAGGAAATGTCATGCCCAAGGTCACGCATCCAGGAAATGTGGAATAGATTGTTACTCAATGACAGTGAAGTATGGAGGAGGCCTAGATGCACTGTTGCAGCACTCCAAGATCTGGGGTTAAATTTTGCAGGAATTCCATTTCACCAGAGTACTCAAGAACTCAAGAGTCTAAAATTAAGCCAGCAAGCCAATTCACTAATTTACAGTGATAACTCTGCCAAGAGGGTCCATATTTAGTTTTTTTTTTATTTTTATTTATTTATGATAGTCACAGAGAGAGAGAGAGAGAGAGAGAGAGAGAGAGAGAGAGGCAGAGACATAGGCAGAGGGAGAAGCAGGCTCCATGCAGGGAGCCCGACGTGGGATTCGATCCAGGGTCTCCAGGATCGCGCCCTGGGCCAAAGGCAGGCGCTAAACCGCTGCGCCACCCAGGGATCCCCATATTTAGGTATTTTTTTAATGTAAATATATTCTCACTCTGTAGGCAAATCTAGTGTTAATCAGAAGTATCGGTGAGTCCATAGACCTGGGAAAAGTGTAATTAAGTTGAAGATTCTTTTATTACTATTACATATTAATTAATTTCTCTGAGATACATAACATATATATATATATATGGTGAAGGTACAAAGTGTACAAAAAAATTTTTAAATGAAAGGCAAATCTTCCTTTCATCCCTTGCTCATCACCAGGGCTTCTGTTCTCATGGAAGATCTTAATGACCACTGTGTCTCTGTATTAATTTTCCAGGGATGCTGTAAAAGTTTACCGGAAATGTAGTGGTATGAAACAACAAATTTATTATCTTATAGTTTTGGAAGTCAAAAGTCCTGAAATTGAAGTGTCACCTGGCCATACTCTCTCTAAAGTCTCTAAGAGAAGATCTTTCCTTGCCTCTTCCAGCTTCTGATACCCCCAGGATTCCCTGGCTTGAGGCCACCTCCCTTCAATCTCTGCCCATCTTTACAGGTCTTCATGTATGTCTCTCTGTGTCTTCTCTCTCTTTATAAGGACATCCGCCATTGGATTTAGGGCCTATCTTAAATCTAGGATGGTTTCATCTTAATATCCTTAAATTAATTACATCTGCAAAGATGCCCTATTTCTAAAAGGTGACAGTCTGAGGTTCTGAATGAACATACCCTTGAAGAGGACACATTCAACCAATCACAGTTCCCCACTCACAGAATTGCTTTTCTTACAAGTTTGGGGCAGGGGGGGCACCTCCTTTCCCTCCTTTCCCTGAATGTGCTTGTTTCAGAGTTCAGGGTCTTGAGAGTGTAAGGGCCAAGACAGCACAGAAGACACAGAAATAAGTAGTCTTCACTTGTCTACCTCCTCCCCTAGCTGTTAGCATTGCTATGTTTCACAAGGAAAAAAAAATCACCATACACCTGTGTTTCTTGTCCCTATTCAGTGTTTAACAGTGTCTAACACTGTGGCTTCAAAGTGCTTCCCATTGGGGCTTTTGGCATTTTCAGAAGAAAGAAGAAGAAAGAAGAAAGAAAAAAGAAGAAAGAAGAAGAAGAAGGAGAAAGAGAAGGAGAAAGAGAGAAGGAAGAGGAAAATGAGGGGGAGGAGCAAGAGAAGGAGGAGGAAGAAGAGGAAAAGGAGGATGGAAAGGAGGAAAAGATGGAGGAAAAAGAAGAGCAGAAGGAAGAGGAAGAGACAGAGGGAAAGGAGGAGGAGGAGGAGGAAAAAGAGGAAGAGAAGGAAGAGGAGGAGGAGGAAAAGCAGGAGGAGGAGGAGGAGGAAGTAGTGCTTAGTATCACTCAGCAGTGTTTATGTTTGCAAAATGTCTCTCCCATTAGACAATTCCAGTTTAAAATACAGATTAGCTCTGACAAAACTGACCTAGGCTGACTTTGCTCTTTGATGGTTTCAATTTCGGTTTTATCTATCACAAATGATTGTAATACTATAGGATTTTGACAGATCAAGGGTAGGAGTTTTGAATTCTTACCTGCAATTTCCAGCTCTAGGGAATAACAGCAGAGAGAAAAACAACAGTAACTGCGTTGTTGGATATGAAAACATACTGAATTTTCCCCTCAGAGTCTTATGCTCGCAGGCATTCAACAAGTTACTTTCCCTGTTGAACAAATAAGCTCTCTTGTACCAAATTATGAGCCTCTGAAAACCTATGGCATTTTTTTTTTCTTATGCCTCAAGTGCAAGGAAGCTTGGGAGAAGAAACATTGATCAATTTCAGTAATTATTTGCCTTGATTTGTATTATACTCAGGCCTTGTCTATGCTTGGCTTTACGTTCTGGGTCTATCAGCAGGTTTTATTGCATATATGATTTTATGTCCTTTCCAGGCGTTTTCTCCTGCCCTGGGCTCCATGACACTGTTCTCACTTTCTGCTCTCTGCTATTTGTTTCTTCTGCTTCCTTCTCCTTTGCCTTCTCTGCCCACCTTTTAAGTGCTGGGGTTTTTTAGGATTCCTGTTCTTCTCTTTCTGGACATGTGGCCCTTGTATTTCTTATACTCTCAGAGGATCTTAAGTGCTTCATGGAGACTGATGGCTCCCACATCAGTATCTGCCACTCCAACTTTTCTCTAAGTTTGGTTTAGACTTGAATCCATCAGTTGCTCATGAGGTGAGTGGGGTTTTCGTGTCTCTCTTGGGCGCCTTACCCAAGGACTACAAATTTGAGCTTGGCACATTTCTCCTCCAGACCGATCCTTCTGCTCTGCTTCTGCGTGACCAGCCTTGGCCAACAGTTGGGCCGTGGCCCAGAGTCTCAAGAAGGAATCTACAAGTCATCTAAGATTTGTTTCTTTTTCACTACCACGTTCAATGTCCATATCCTCTTGATTTCCCTGCTAAGTATTTCTGGAATCTGCCTCTCCCTTCATTTCTGTTAGCTCTGATTTTCAGACCTGGGATCAAATGATAATTGATCATCTCATCTTGGCTATTTCCTTATCCTTTTCACAGGACTATAGCATATTTAAAATGTTTGTGGTTTCCCACTGTGGACAGAATTAAATGGAGACTTATCAGCATGAAACAAAGGCCTTCCCTGATTGGTTCCTACTCATCTCTGTGGTCATCCCCTGCCACTCCCCACCCCTCATTTTCTGCCTTCATGGCTGCCTGTCATTCCACATGGAACCACTACCCTTGGCCTTTGAGGCCAAAATGACCTTCTGATCTTCCTTCTCTAATGCCCTGTGAATTTCAGGACGGTGGGGTCATGCTGTATTCATCTTAATATTCTTGTGCTTGGAACAGTGCTTAGCCCAGTATGTCTCTCATGTTGAATTCAACTATCAATTATAAATAAATGAGTCCTTGTCTCATCCTAAACTCCATATTCTTAGGGACACTCACCCTTGATCCTCCAGAACAGGTCAGCCATCCTCATGATATGTCCCTATATCTTGTGATATTTATTCCGAGAGTCTTGAAGAATTATAACATTATTTTTTCAATTATTCACCTTATTTGTTTAAATTTGCCTTCCTGCACTAAGTTGTAAATTTTGTCAACAAGGTAGATGGTACAGTTAGCAGAGTACCTGGCCTATAATAAATGCTCATTTTGTTAACTGATAGACTGACATGTTTTCTTGCTGGATACAAATCTTGAACGCATTGCTGGCACCTCCAGAAAATTTAGATCAAATTGCCTGCTGGCCTAATGCCCCATTCTACCCATCTAGAAAATGGAGGTGTTCCTGTGGGATAATGTTGGATAGCAGATGAGCTTCAGATAAAACCATCTCAAAACAAATGTGTTGTAAATAAATTATACAAATAAGGAAAGATGGGATTAAAAGATTAAACACATCAACTAAAAATTTCAGATGAGCTTTGAAATGCCTATTTCAGGATGTGGTATTTTATTCTCCCACAGAAAATGTAAACATTTCTTCCCCTTTTTCCTTCCCAGAGATGGAGACAGAAATGCCTGTGCAAAACAAGGTTGAATCAGAACAGGTAAAATGTTGGTGAAGTATTGGAAGCATGAGTTAGATTTTAAAAGTCCACAATAGAGGTTTGCAGAAATGAACTGGGGAGGCAGATATATCTGAGCGGCAACTGTGGAGAAATAACTAAGCAATTTGTAGACTCGTGCTTTGTGCTCTTGGCAGAAATAATGTTTATATCGTTACCTCTATATGTGCAGATGCTTTGCAAAACAAAAAGAAAAAAAAAGTACAAAAGCGTGGAAAAATCATTATGTGTGCCTTCTGCATGTCTCAGGATTAGTGACGTCCTGCAGGATCAACACTTGGCACCGGCACCCTTCTTATTGTGGAGTGTACCCTTCATTAACTTTTATTATCACAAATTGATTCAAGTTGCTTTAAATAAAAACTGCAGGCAACATCGACACCTATAAGGGAAAAGCGAAGGTCCCCCATCCCTTCTTTCTTTCTTCTCTTCTCCCTCCTCAGAGGCAGGTGTGCCCTCCTTGTTGCTGTGTTGGAGACAGGGCCAGGAAGATGAGGAAGTGGAGCCTGGCCTGGGTAGCGGTGGTGGCATAGTCCCCACCAGAACTAGGTGCTGCCTGCAGAGCAGCACTCCTCCAATGATTTGGCATCAGGACCCCTTGATACTCACAAAAATCAAAACAGAAGTTAAAAACAATGTTTATTAATTCATTTAAAAGCAAGAATAACAAGCAAACCCATTTCATGTTGACATAAATAACATTTAATGAAAAACACCTGTATTTTCCTGGATGAAAAATATTAGTGAGAAAAATGGCATGAGTGGCATTGCTTTATAATGTCTGGCTACCTGGGAGACAGAAAGACATCAGCACATCATTTGTCATACAACCTCGGGGAAACCCCACTGTCCATCTCATGAGAGAATGATGGTGAAACTGGCAAATAATGTCTCGTGAAAATAATTTTGATCTCATGGGTCCCCTGGCTACACTTTGAGAACCAGTGCTACAGAACATTTGAAACTGAGTTCCATTTTCAGGCCCTGAAACCCACAGCCCAAATGCCTGGTATTGAAGACAGGAAAATGTGGGGGTCTGGGTAAATGTTCCAAGTTTTCAGAGATTTTTTAAGAATTCTGATTTGTAAGGCTGCTTTGCCTTGATCTTGAGCCAGATTGGGCAAAATGGGGTGAGAAGGAGGGAAGCTGCTGGCGAGTGGAAGGTATGATTAGGACGGGAAAGTTGTGTGGGGGTGATGTTCAGAAACGACTGGCCCAATTGCTTTTCCCTGTGTCTCATCAGGTAAAAATGGTCATCAACTCTGACCTGCTAATGATCATCGCTCCCTCCCTGGGATTTGTGCTGTTGGCGTTGCTTGTGGCATTTTTCCTTCGAGGTAAGCAGGGCGGCCAGGTGGGATGGTGGCCGTCAGAGCTGTGGAGGCTCCAGGAGGATCTGGGAATGGACTGATTCTGCTTCCTGCCCCTGTCTCCATGCCCCAGAGTCCCATTTCCATCCATCTATCATCTTCCTGATGAAGTTTATATTTTGGAAAAGAAAAACAAGAACACCATCATTTACTGGACACTATCTGTGACAGTCCTGCTGCTCTATTCTTGTGTGTCTAACTCATTTCATCCTCATTACTGCCTTAAGTGAAAAGTGCTGATTATTACCATTGTCTCGGAGTGGAGAAAACCCTGGCCCAGCCTCCTCCCCTGGCTAGGACTGCCCTAGGAAGAAAGCCATGAATGATCTTGGGCTTCTTATCCCCTTAAAGCAAGCTTTCCTTCCTGGGCCTCCCCAGATGGACCTCAGGGAAAGTGAATCCCTTGAAATTCTGTGCAAAAGTTCTTGCATATTCATATCTGCATTTCTCTGGGGCAGGGTCCATAGTTATTATTAGATTCCCCAGCTGGTCTGTGACCTTGCGCCTCCCTACCACCACCCCTCATCTTTAAAAAAAAAAAAAAATTAAAACACTGCAAAAAGGAGTCATGGAACAGAGTTTACAGTTGTCATGCAAAGTATAGGCATGTGACATCTGGTCCTACTGTAAAATGGGGGAAAATTGTTCTGTAGTTATTAACAGAAACTGTTTTGAGGTGGTAAATGAGGAAGTAAGACTGCAAACCATCCTGTTTGAGCAGCAGTAGTGAAACTTGCACATTTCAATACCTGTCCCTAGTGAACTCTGATGAAGGAAATTTGGAATTCAGCAGGAGCCTATCATTAGCCTTCATACAAAGTCCTCATAAGGGCAGAAGCCACTGGTCCTCATACAGTTTTGGAGTTTCTGAGTATGTCTCATAAGGAAGTGTTTTACAACTCAAGTGAGTGCTTCAGTTCTGGGTGGGCAAGTGACAAGAATGAAGCAGCTTAACACTATTGTCCACAACGTGGAAACAGCTGTGTAATGATGGGTACTGCCTTGGGGCCCAAAGAAGCAATCACTTGATCTGGGAAAAGGAAGCTTTCCCTGCCAAAACCAGTCCCTAAATTCTCACCTTTGGTCCAACTCTGCTTTTGGTAAAACAACTTTAGGTTTTCCCCATGTTTCACATGTTCTAGCACAGCTACTCTGCTTATACCATGGCCTTGTCTTTTCAGGGAAAGTCATGAAATCCAGTTGGTTCCCGAAACACACACGGTAATTCATCTTGCATGACTGATTGTTGTAATGATTGTACAAGCTGTTACAAATGATTAGATACTACTCAGTAGTTTAATGATTTGTGCTCGTGTTCTGATTAAATGCAGGGTTGGAGAAGTGTGGCATTAGAGGTGAAAAAGACGTAGGATTTAGCTCACAGTAAGCTCTGTATTTGTTAACAATGTGTTGTTTGTCCAAAATATAAATACAAAGGTAGGTTGCATTAATAGAAGCATGGCATGCAAAAGAAAGAAGGTGATATGTCTCTGTCGTCTTGCTCAGAATTCTTTGTTCAACTCTGGGCAATTCATTTTAAAAGAATATTGCTGGGCAGCCCGGGTGGCTCAGCAGTTTAGCGCTGCCTTCAGCCCCAGGGTGTGATCCTGAGGACCTGGGATCGAGTCCCATGTCAGGCTCCCTGCATGGAGCCTGCTTCTCCCTCTGCTTGTGTCTCTGCCTCTCTCTCTCTCTCTCTCTCTCTGTGTGTGTCTCATGAATAAATAAATAAAACCTTTTTTTTTTTTTTAAAAAAAGGACATTGTTAAAAAGAAGTTCACAGAGAAGAGAGTTGGCAGTATGGGGAATGAAAAACATGTAGAATATCATTCCTGGGATTTGGTTTCTCTGCCCAATATTAGACCATCGGAGCAGGGGTTTTTTGTTTTGTTTTGTTTCAAATTGTTTGAAGAGTCTCTGCAAAGAGATTTTGGTTATCTGTCCTGTTCTATAGCTTTTTGGGAAAGAAATGAAAAGATTTGGTAAACTGTGAGGAAGACCGTGCCTTCACTTAATTGTATCGATACCAAAATATCTATTAACAAATAAACATTAACAAGTAGGGAAACTGAGACTCAGCAAGGTAACTTTCCAAGGTCATAAACACGTTTCAATCTTGATTTTGTAATCTGCTAATATAGAAACATTTAATTCCCTTATTAGGCTAGATTGGCAAAAGCCCTTTATCTTCTTTTTTTAAAATTTTTTTTATTTATTTATGATAGTCACACATAGAGAGAGAGAGAGAGAGGCAGAGACATAGGCAGAGGGAGAAGCAGGCTCCATGCACCGGGAGCCCGACGTGGGATTTGATCCAGGGTCTCCAGGATCGCGCCCTGGGCCAAAGGCAGGCGCTAATTCGCTGCGCCACCCAGGGATCCCAGCCCTTTATCTTCTGCAGCGTCAGTTTTCTATCTGTGAATGGAAAGGCTTGGACCCGATGGAGTCTGAGCCCTTTTCACTCTAATAGCCGTTGTTAGTTGCCTTGTGATTTAGCCATATCTGGTTCTTTCTGGTCCTGGTGCTTCCCATTCTCAGCCTCTATTTTCTTGTTACAGGCTGGACAATGTTGAAGGATATAAAAACAACTTCGATGACATGCAGCATGGAAGAGAAGACGAAGATGGTCTTTTCACACTCTAATGTGCCACTTTTTCTCAGGATTGAGGATGGGGGCATGATGCGGGAATTGTCAAAATAAGTCTTAGAATGTATTGTTTTGTTTTAAAAGCCCCATCTATTATTCCATTGGTGTCATTGATCCAGTCTTGTTTTAATTTCACAAGTGAAAGGTACTTTAGAGACCTTTAGCACCTTCGCTGCCAGGCGCTTTAATCTCCTGGGTAGCATCCTGGTCAGTGATCTTCCAGAATGTGCTTGAATAATCTTGGTGATGGTGAACTCACTAGCACATCTAAAGGAGATCATTCAATCTCAGGGCAGTTCTGAGACTTCGAAATATTTAAAATGAAGTCTGTCTCCATATAGCATCTGCTTATACATCCTAGTTGAATTCATTGTGTTTACACAGAACATGTGTAATCTCTCTTCTCTCTGGCAGCGCTCCAGATACTGCAAGGAGAGCCTTGTCTGTACAAATTGCCTTGCTTCTGAGATGTGTTTTCTGGTCCCTTTTCTACCTAGTTGACTTTGCCTCGTGTGTATTTGGGTCTCTCTGTTTATGCCCAACTTTCAGAGGTTAGTGCCCCACTCCAGGTAAGGTAGGAGCAGCCCTGGGTCTGAACCTCATCAATAATGCAGGAAGCGATGTAGAGAAGTATCCTGATTTTGGCTCACATTTCCTTTTTTGAGAAAAGAATCTCCCTTAACTAGGGCTCTGTGGGGGCAGGTGTATTGGCACAGAATCAGGAGTTTCCTGCGGCAGGAGGCAAAGGTCCAGGTGGAGGTGGTTGTCAGAGATTGCATTTAAGGAGGCATTTGCCTGGACGCCCATCGCAGCTTCTAAGGTGCACACCTCGTCTGCAGTCCTTCCCTTCTCCGATCTGTTCTCCATGCTGTGGCAGAGATCCTTTTCTAAATGCAGATCAGAAGGTCCTGTCTACCCATGGTGTTGGTGTTGAAGAAGTGCTTAGGCTCTGCCTGAGGCCGGGTGGCTGTCACAGATGAGTGAGGCATGGGGAAGTGCAGGGGCTATTCAAAATGGAATGTTTGTGTCCACTTGAAGGCCTTAACATTCCAGCTTTGTTAGAATAATGCCCTGGGCAAGCAACACAGGACCATGGGCTGGAACAAGGTAATCGGTCTAAGACTCCGAAGTCCAGGAGGCATGATATGGGTTTTACCAAATGATGAGTTAATAAATATATAATTCTTAGGATGAGACTCCCTGGTCAGAGAAGATTGTTGGTCTAGTTATTCCTCTTTTTCCCTCTCTGTGCAATCAGGATGAATTGGTAGCCACCTGCAAATAACTTCCTAATATCTAGGGCCCAGGAGAGGGGATCACTTTCCTTAGAGAGCTTAAAAACCTAAATGAGACGAAACATGCATGGGAAATGCAACAGAATAGAATCAGTGTTGACTTTCCATTTGCACAAGCAAGGACTTTGATGGAGATGTGGTTCTTACAGCTGATGTTTACATGGTGGTTCCACAATCAAACTTTGAGGGTTTAGAACAACCTAATTCTTCAACCTTGACCCTGACCTTTCTAGGCTCAATCAGAGCTAATATCCAATCCTGAGAAAGCATTTGATATGGTCTAGGTACTCTACTAAGTGTTTCAAGCAAGTATATTACTGTTGCTTTTGGAGTTGAGCAAACAGAAGCAGAGGCCAAGGAACATGCCCAAGGTCACATGGACCAACCCCCTGTGACAGAGCAGGGCCTTGAACCAGGCTGGAAGGACTCCACACACTTAACCACTACCCTATACCTCAGAGCAAGGGCCTTAATTTAACATTTCATGCATACAGAACTGCACTATTGGCCTGCGTTGGTCCCAGATGGATTTTAGTTTGTTCAAATCCAGGTCGACCTGAGTGCTTTGATGGTTCTCCAATCCCAACCCCTTTATAGCTCAATCTTCCCTTGTCCCCATATTATTTACTCAGAATCTTATTTGCATTTGCAGAGGAAGCTGCAAGTGGAGAACCTGGCAGGAACCTTAATGAAGCCAGGTGGGACACATTTAAATGAGAATGTGTTGAACTAACTCATGAAGAGCTAGAGCCAGCTGTCAGCAGGCTTAATGAAAGGTTAACAGGAAGCCGGCAATGGGTGGCTGGGGAGACTCTTTGTCTCTCTAAAGAAAACAAAAAGTTGAGAAGTGAGCTCCCTGGGTGAAGGCAAGATCAGGAGGAGGAAGCCACTTATAATCAAAAGGCTGGGTCTCAAAATAGAATCATTTGGATTTGTAAACATGTTATAGTCATTACAAAAAAAAAAAAAGAGACATTGAGTTCTCAGCTCTCTGAACATCAAAAGACAGTGAAGAGAAGTGTGTTGAAGTAAGATGAATGCTGATGTTGTTATCAGGGTCTTGGGCGTGATGGAGATAGCTCATGAAATGGAAGATGGGTTTACTCTCCATCTGAGCTGGGAGAGTGCTGTTCTTTGTATATTTTATCCGCGCTGCATATGGAGTGGGGGTGGGGAGGGTGTGTGCAGGAAGGATCCTGATACAACAAGCAGTTCAACTCCCATGTTTTATCTGATGAAACTGAGGCCCAGACAGGGGGACTGAGTGATCCCAGGCTACACAGTAAACCAGTGCCAGAGCACAGGCCTAAACCATGTCTCCTGGACTTCTCTGTGGCCATGTCATAAACCTGTTCCTGGATTTTTCTAGGTCCACCTGGATCTGCTTGATTATTTACCATTTGGAGGTCACATTAAGTTCCTGATGTGAGCAACTCAGTATTTCTTTCCCTTGAACCATCTTACCCTGCACACCCTTGACCTTGTGCTGGACGGATGTTCCCAGAAAGAGGAATGAGAATGTAGAAGTGCAAAGCTAGGTTGTTCTGTTGCTTTTTGAAGAACACCACCATTACTAGGGTGACCAATTCATTCTGTTTTGAAACTCAAAGTCTCGCATTGCTGGGACCTCCTTCAGGATGACTATAATGACTATAACATATTTGCAAGTCCAGGCAAACTGGGATGATTGGCCTACCTAAGTCCATAACTAAACTAGAGATGGAAACAACTTCCTTCTGAGTTCTTGACTCTCTTGAAGTGATCATTTTTTTCATTGCAAGTACCCAAGTGGAATTTGTTTAGATCCAGTCTTTTTTTTTTTTTTTTAAAGATTTTATTCATTCATTCATGATAGTCACACAGAGAGAGACAGAGAGGCAGAGACACAGGCAGAGGGAGAAGCAGGCTCCATGTAGGGAGCCCGACGTGGGATTCGATCCCGGGTCTCCAGGATTGCGCCCCAGTCCAAAGGCAGGCGCCAAACCGCTGCACCACCCAGGGATCCCTAGATCCAGTCTTAAAATAGACCACTAGATTTAGGTTCTAGACCTTTGTTAACCAAAATGTAGGGCTCAGACCATGCGTAGTCATCACCTGGGAGCTTGTTAGCAGTGCAGAATGTCGGTCCCCACACTAGAGCACGGAATCAGAACCTGCATTTTAACAAGGGTTTCCATGTTATCCATATGCACGTTAAAGATTGAGAGGTACTGGCCTAAAGTATTGATTTTCAACGTTGACTGCATGTGGAAATCATATGGGGATTTCAATAATAAAAAATACTGATGTTCGACTTCCCTCTGAGGTCCTGACTTTAATGGGCATGGGGGAGACCTGGCTTTCAGAAGTTTTTAGGCCACCTTGGATAACGCTAATATGCAGCAATGACTGTAAGCCACTATTCTAAAGGGAGGGCAGCTCTGTGCCAGAAGGAAATGTTGCTAATTAATCAGGACAACTTTTGGCCTAAGTTATGAGTTTATGTGGGTCTAGTACCCCCACATGATTTTGCTCAAAGAAATGATCAATAAAATTGTTCAAGAAGATCTGAGGAGACACGATAATGACCTAAATGTCCCAATTACTATGGATGAGGCCCATTAAAGTAATTAAAAATCAAGATATAATATTTGGTCTGTGGAAAGTGATAATGAGAAAACAGAAAAGATAAACGGAGAAAGAATGTCTGGGGGTCAAGGTGGTGCTATTAATCTTTCAGAGACATCAGAGGGATAATGAGATGATGCTAAGATTATAAGAGAAACATGGGAGATTGGTTAAGTGGAAATCTTTGTTGCAGAATAAAGAATTTAGTAAAAAGGCAACTATTTGCCCTCTTGTCCCTAAAAATAATGGGAGACCCTCCTCAGGGCAAAGTCATACATTGTCTTAATAAGACTGTATTCAGCTGCAAGTAAGAGAATACTAAAAAGCAGTGACTTAAAGACTTTTAATTATTTCACATAACTAGAAATTTGGATTTAGACTGTTTGAGAGTTGGTTCAGCAGCTTCACTGAAATGAGATATGAGTCTCTGGCTTCTTGTGGCTTGTCCCTCATGGTTGCAAGATGGCTGCCATGGCTCTAATGTGCCTTCACACAAAAGGATCTCAAGCAGGAAGGAAGGATGTGGAAGGGAATGAGACTTTCCCCTAATATGATCCTTACCCTTGATCAAAAAGGGAAATCTGCCATAGAGGTTACCAGAAGAACTTCCCATATATTTCATTGTCCATATACTTCACTTGATCACATGCCCATCCTTTGGCAAAGGGAAATGAAATATCCAGGACTAATTTACACCAATCATTACTCAGCCCCCAGGATATACACAGGGCCATTTAACCAAAACTTACAGTCAATCAGCACAGGAGAAACTGGGAATGGGTGTTGGGTCAACAACCTTGATTCCTGACACACTCACTCATCCATTGAAAGTGTCTTGGGTGTCTTCTATGTGCCAAAAGGCTCTGTTGGGTGCTGGGGTATAGTAATGAACTGAACAGACCTACTCCCTCTTCCCAGACAGCTTATAATCTACAGAGCCACTTTCATCTGTATTATGCATTTCATGATTCCAAATATTTGGATCGTCTTTAATGTACCTGAGAGGCAAAAAGAATCAAGGGATTTCAAAAAGATAAAAGTTTAGAAATTCTGTATACATACCTTCTTGAAGCTGGGGAACTGAATCTTTCATGCAGGTGTCAGGAGTCAATAGAGGAATGAGGCAGAAACTTTCAGCCCTAGTAGGTGACAGCAAATTACAACAAAAATTCTTAGCTACAGTGAAACTTTGTAAGT